ATATACTTATCATACTTCAATACTGTGTTCTTGTGTATGTGTATGGTGAGATAAACAACCAAAGATTTTAATGACATCAAATTCATATTTATACTATACCAAACATCATATTTTAAGCACATGTCTAGAAAGTTTGATCTAATCAAGCTCCGAGATGGAAGAAGACCTGCAATCAAAAGGCATAGCTTGTTGATATCGATATTGCGTATTAGCGTTCATTTGACTCGTAAACTGGTACACAGATTCTGATTTCATCTGCAATTGTTGCATTCTCCGAATCAAATCTGCTTGGGAGCAATCCACATACACTGGATCTTCACTTGCATACTGTGGTTGATGTTGTAGTCGAGATCGATACGTAGTCACTTCAAAACACGACTCATCGAAATTGCTGTCCCGATCTTGTTGAGATGGAATTGTCGAGGCAAAGGATGACTCGAGATCGAAACCGTTTGATGTTTCCAAAATAGTTGTCGAACTCTTTTCTATCCTACATGCCATCGCTTCAGGTTTCACAGTGTCAATGAGCTGTACTGCCGAACAGCTTCTTGAAACATTAGTACCGGTTGCTCCAAGCTCTACGAATCGATCACATCTTCGAACATTTACGTTATCGGTGGTACCCAGAGTCCCAATATATTTTCCGAAATCGATATTTTCAGCTTTGGACGATGATGACGTTGGCTTAGTCCGTTGATCCATGGTCAAAATACTTTCTTCTTTAGTCGACATTGTTTCATTCAGACTATATCCCGCTTCTACGTCCCGACGCGCCATGTTACGAGCATCCATATGACTAGCGTTCATCTTGCAGTTCTTACATAATGTGGCCGGTAGACACTGAACTTGACCATTAACATATTGGTTTTCGCTTCCGATCTTGCTTTGAGTGATGCTATGTGATGAATAATTGCGTCTGATCATACCGAGGTCATGACTGACACGACACCGTGAACAGACATTAATGAGACACAGATCGCACGACGCCACGCTGGTCAGAACATTAAATTTGCGATCGCAAATTCCACAGCGTTTCAAGGAACGCTTAGAATCTAGATGTCTTTGACGAAAGTCTTGCGCAGCATTTAAGAAGTTAAGCAGCCAGCTTAGTTTTTTGTTTTGACCGCATGTTGTTGCCTCTGTGATA